TTAAGCGAGACATTTGTTAAGTGAGTTTTGCCCCATTTTACAACCTTTCTTGATATAGTTATTAAGTGAATTGCTGTAGTTGTTAAGCTAGTAACATGGTTGTTAAGTGAATCTGACTTCCCCATTGACTTCGCTTGTCAGAAGTTTGCAAAAGCTGATCACATGACCCCAAGATATTTCAAGTATCATAAATATGAACCAGTTGCCAAGCATCCCAATTTTTATCACATGACCATGGGGATGCTGTAATGGTTGTAAGTGTGTACATAAGTCATTTTTTCCAGAGCTGGTGTAACTTTGAATGGTAACTAAATGAACCTTGTAAGCTGCGAACTACCTGTATTTTGGTAATCCCCTATCCAGACAACTTCACTTAGCTTTCCAGGTCAACCAAACATTGACCAGGTCTGCCATCCACTGAAAATAAAATGGTAAAAGTGAGATATAATTCAGGTAGCCCTCAATCTTAATTGAGCCCAAAATTTCTGTTGTTAAGTGAGACATTTGTTAAGTGAGTTTTGTCCCATTTTCTTGCCTCGGTTGTTAAGTGAATTGCTGCAGTTGATAAGTTAGCAACCCGTTTGTTAAGTGAATCTGGATTCCCCATTGGCCTTGCTTGTTGGAAGCTCACAAAAGGTGTTCACATGACCCTGGGACACAGCAACAGTCATAAATATGAACCAGTTGCCAAGCATCTGAATTCTGATCACATAATCATGGGGATGCTACATAGATCATAACTGTGAAAAACAGTCATAAGCCCCATTTTTCAGTCCCATTGATACTTTGAATGGTCATTAAATGAACTGTTGTAAGCTGAGAACTACCTGTGTATTTTAAAGGCTAATGAAACACCCTAACTTCTTTCTCCATTGAAATGAGAGGTAAAATAAGGAAAATCTAATTCCTGTTAATATTAATAACAGTCTCCACTTTGTATTTTTCCCATCCAAAACAATCCTCCTCCCACTTTACTGCTAAATGAGGCCCATGGTCAACAAAAAAAAGTCCTTTCGAAGCAAATGAGTACCACTAAACTTTTAGAAACTTGTGACTGCTTGTTTATGATTGTTTGCTCAATAAACATGAACGGGCTCCTATTTTAACCTGTGAGTACAGACATTTAGCAACAAAAAACAAGCACTAAATCAATTGTTATTTCATATTTTTAAGTTTTTTTATGAAAAATGAATATTTATGATCACATCTACATACAGCCAATTAGGCATAATGATTAAAGTACTGGATTAGAAGCCAGGAGACTGTGAGTTTGTTTGGCAGAAAAGCTGAGTGGGTGACTTTGGGCTAGTTGCTCTCTCTTGCTCAACCTATTGCACAAGGGGTTGTTGTGAGAAAATAAGAGGATGGAGCATTTATTTATTTGATTTGTCAACCGCTTACAAGATAATAGGTATAAGTATAAACATAATTATGAATACATGAAATAGATACATATAAGAAAAATAAAAAGAAACAATGGGACAAGGACGGTAGGCATGTTGGTGCGCTTATGCACACCCCCTACAGACCTCTTAGGAAAGGGTTGAGGTCAATAGTAGACTGTCTAAGGTTAAAGTTTTTGGGGTTTGGGGAAGAAACCACAGAGTCAGGTAGAGTATTCCAGACATTGACCACTCTGTTGCTGAAGTCCTGAAGTCCTGCAATCAAGTTTGGTGTGGTTTACCTTGAGTTTGTATCTATTGTGTGCTCTTGTATTGTTATGGTTGAAGCTGAAGTATTCATTGACAGGTAGGCCATTGCAATGTATGATTTTATATACTATACTTAAATCAGACCGAAGGCGGCGTAGTTCTAGATTTTCTAGGTCTAGAATTTCAAGTCTGGTGGCATAAGGTATTCTGCAACGAGTAGAGGAATCTTATGAAATATTTCTGGACTTTCTCAACTGTGTTAATATAAGATACGTAATTATGTATAATGTATATGTATAAGCATTATGTATAACATAATATTATTATTATATTATATATATTATAACATTATGTATAACATTATGTATAACAGCCTGAGCTTCACAAAATGAAAGTGGGATATAAACCAAATGAATAAATAAACCTAATGGCTGGTTTTGTAATGTGTTGTTAGTTTTAGCTTAGTGTAGTATAAAAAACAAAGCACCAGAAAACCAAAGTATCAGTGGGTTTAGGCACCGTCGAAAACTGCATCAGCTGTAAATACTTAAGTATCTTTATGATATTTGGAAGGAATATAAGGAATACAAGAAATACTTAAGAAATACCTTAAGTACAGTATCTTTATGATATTTTTATAGTATCTTTATGTTATATTTGGAAGTCCCATAGGACCAAGCTGTAAGCATAATCTGAAACTGTGTCATTATAACTGTTGCCAAGGCAACAATTGTGATATATTCTGTTAGCAGTTCCCAGGAAATAGATTATATGCATATGTATCTTTCATTTAAGATCAAAAACCCTTGAGGTCAAGTGGAGTGAGAAAGAAAAAGAAACAAACAAACAAAGATCTGGAAGGAAAACACATCAATGTCTTACATCTCAAATGGTAAGCAACTGTTATGCCAAGTTTAAGAAGGCTTTCCCTGGCCTATTAGTGGAGAATTCAGGCATTGTCCTTTAATATATCAAGGTTGATGTAAAATAGAAAGTCTATGAGGAATTCCTCTAGTACAGGGGTGTCAAACTGGCAGCCCACAGGCCGTATGTGTCATGCAAGGCCACACCCACCTCAGCTCCGCAAAGGCAAAAAACATTGTGATATATCATATGACATCAACACGCTGCAGCGAGTTTGACCCCTGTGCTTTATTATGTGCTCTTTTAGACTCAAACACAAGGGAGGAACATACATGCATACATGAATTCAAATGTACAAACATGCATACAAGCAAACATGCAAACACACCCATCATGTCTTCCCTTTGGGAATAAACAAATGAAGACAAGAAAAAAATTAAACATATTAAAGCTAAACCTTGATAAGGCTATGGTTGTCACAGGTATGATGACAGATATTATGTCCCACATTATGACCTTGATTAATTAAAACATTTACATAATATTTTAGTACTAATAAATTACTGACACCAGAGATCGGTCTAGAAGATTTTCTAAACTTGTTTAAAGTTTCAAACTTGTATAAAGTTTGCTTTCCAGACCATTGTTGTAAAAATGGAGTAGCAAGGATTTTATCTTTTTTTCCCAACCCTTCCCAACAATGTAGCCAAATATCTAGGCAGATTTAGAGAGGACTATGCAAATTGGAAACAAACATACTTAGTAGCGATATCCTAGTGAAATCTTTACCATGTTTGTCACAGATTGCAGCTAGATTTTTGGGAAAGAACACCAAGCATGAATGCAAAAAGTGAATCTTCAGTGACATGTTGCACTTTGTGGTTTTGTAAGTTGTTAGAAGTTTGTCAACCAGCTGGATATAGCTTGGTGCTCTATACTTCCCCAAAAAATTCTCAACAACATTCTTGAATAATTTCTAAACACTTTTTACTGGCCCCATTTAGATCTTCACATCTCGTCACTGAAGACATGTCTGATCTGTAGACCAACAAAATGCCCTCCTTAATCTTGGCATCAGTTATTCTTAGAAACGTCTGTCTCAAAATAACAAAAAACTTCACCTTCCTTGTTTATCAGTTTCACATTTTTCATGTGCCTGAGTTTTCTGCAAAGCAGACTCAAAAAATATCTTTCTTGGGTCAACAAGTGGTTCCTGTGCCACACTTTTCTGCCCTGGAACCAAATTCTTTCAGGGTGGCCATTTGTTTCCAATTCAAAGCAACTCACTTGCACAGCTGTCCCATTCACATATGTAACAACTGTATCAAGTATATGCATGCTATGTTCAAAGTATCAAAGCCGCTACTTTTAGATCTCACAGATATTCCACTTGGTGTGCTACAACAGTCCCATGTTTGTGTGTACATCTTTCATTCGTGCAACATAGCCAAAAGGAACTGAAAGGTGTACAGATAGCCTTGACTTACGATCACAATTGAGCCCAAAATCTCTGTTGCTAAATGTGACATTTGTTAAGTGAGTTTTACCCCATTATATGACCTTTCTTGATACAGTTGTTAAGTGAATCTCTACAGTCGTAAATTAGTAGCATAGTTGTTAAGTGAATGTGGCTTCCCCGTTGACTTGGCTTGTCAGAAGGTTGCAAAGGATCATATGACCACTGGAGACTGTGACTGTCATAAATAAAAGTCAGTTGTTAAGCATCTGAATTTTGATAATGTGACTGTGGGGATGGTGCAATGGTTGCCAAGTGCGAAAAATGGTCAAAAGTCATTTTGTTCAGTGATGAACTTCAGTCACTAAAAGAACTGTTGTAAGTTGAGGACTACCTATACATTGCTATTGCATAAAAACAAATGTCAATAAAACATTAAGAGCCATGGTGGGGCACTGCTTAGAATGCAGGACTGCAGGCTACCTCTGCTGCCTGGTGGCTGCCTGCAATTTAGCAGTTCAAATCTTTCCAGACTCAAGGTCGATTCAGCCTTCCATCCTTCCGAGGTGGGTAAAATGAGGACCCAGATTGTTGGGGGCAATAGGCTGACTCTGTAAAACTGCTTAGAGAGGGCTGTAAAGCAGTATAAAGCGGTATATAAGTGTAACTGCTATTGCTATTTTGTAATGGATTGAATTATAGGTTATCTTCACAATTAGCAGCCAAACATCCATAACGAACATCAAAAGTGTTCTGAAAGCAACCTTTTTGTGCTGCAGTGTATTCCTTCGATCATGTGTCGACCAGCATTTATTTATGTCACGTAGAGATACGCTAAGTAGAACGAGCATGTTAAAGTGGGGGCGGGGTGGAGAACGGACACATTCGAATCTCCCTTTCTTTACAAAGCCATATCCCTTCTATATTCCTAGCTCTATATTCCTAGCTCTATATTCCTGAGACCAAAAAAAAAAAAAATGAGGGGGTGGGAAAGGAAGCGTCGAAACGGGCCATCCCTGAGCTCTCAGCCAATGGAATCTTCCCAACGCTGACTTCCTTGTTGAAGGGGCGGAGCGAAAGAAGGAACACCGAGGGGATCGGCTAGGGGGATTGCCGGGCACTCTCGGGGCGTAAACGAGGCGGCGTAAGCGATGGTTTACATTTCGAATGGTGAGAACCGGAAATTTTTGACCAGGGGGCGGGGGGGAAGAGTCCCTTTCCCGGGGAAGGGGAACGTTCAGGTGTCTCAGCGTTCTCTTTTGCTTGGCTTTGATCCCGAGGGAAGGCGGGAGCAGCGCAGCAAAGGCGCAACACAGCCTTGTGACTTACAAGCTCGACCGGCAAAACTGGCCGCTTACTACCTTCCTCTTGGGTACCAAATTGGGCTGGAGTCCGCCCGTCAATACGCACCGAAAGGGATTCCCGTGGATCCGCCGGTGAAAAGATCACTCTTAAAGGCGCGCGGTGGAGGATCAGTATCCTGTCTGCAGTATCCTGGTTTCTTTATTTAATGTCGTCGTTTTTTGTTTTGTTTTGATTGGTCGCTTCTGGAACTATCATTATTATTCTGAACAGTGAAAGGAATGGGTATGCCTGGGTTTACGAACAAATTTTGGATTAATAATATTATATGATGAGCTCTTGTATTATGGTATAGGATTATTGATGTTATTATTTCAAAACAGTAATCATCATTGTTTGTTCTGGATTGTAGGACAAGTTTTGGATAACCGGAGTCGGGCTCCATGGAGTTTGTCATCTATAACTGACTTCTTCTGGGGAATAGCAGATTTCATAGTAATGTTGTAAGTGACGTTTTTCCCTCAAATTAAAAAAAAAAAACATGAATTATGCAATTATTATTCCCCCTTGAGACACTTCAGACCTGAGTAGATTAATATATATATAATGGATGCATTTTACAGTTAAGTTTATTGAGCAAAACTCCAGTGGAGTAGAAGAAACACATTCTTATTGTTCCTCTTGTGGAGTTTTTGATTAAAATTGATGAAAAGATATAGTCAGTGTCTTAACAAAAGATGTGAAAGGAAAGTAAACACAAGGCTGATTTTTTGTAAGATTTATAGAGTAATTTGGATATGTACAAATAAATACATAGCTTCTCTATGTATAGAACTCCTTGTAAAATGGAGTTTTTGGAAAAACTAATAATTTTTGGAGTATCCTTGAATATTTGGAGAAGACTGAACTAATAGTTGTCCCTCAAACTGGATTGTGCTTGTAACACTTCTGAATCCATATTTAATTAAAAGATCAGATGGATTAAATAACTTGAAAATAAAATTTCTAACATTGAAAAATGTTCCTTAAAAGGTCAGGCATCTGCACGTGTTTCCCAGCCTTGATGAGAAACGAGAAACAGCAGTGACAAAGAATTGGGCACTGTAACTTGGTCTGCATTTCCTGATAATGTTTTCTGATCCCGGATCATGTTTTTTCATCAAAGTAGAATTCAGCTACTGTTATAATCCATTATATATGGAATGTAATGGTAGATTACCTTGTCCTTCACAGGCAGTGAAATGTCTAGTGCTGGACTATATGATCTGTCAGTCTGCAATACCATTTAGATGTTATATATTCTAAGTCTTTGGACATTTTAGCTATTCTTTTTAATTCAGCAAATGAAGAAATGGATGATGTAGTGAGACATTAAATAGTTCCATCCAGAAAGAGCTATAAGTTAGCTAATGGTGGGTTCTGTGAGTTTTGTTATATACCGTATATTGACTATTGTCCATTCTCATACAGTATTGGAAAATTATGATTTCATATAGGATAATTAACTTCATTTATTTAAGCTTTGCATTATAAAATTCACTTAGTTGATTGTGTCACATTTAATTGTCAGCTTATACATTTTCTACTTGGTTTTGAGGGGTCTACTAACAATAACATTTTATTTTCAGTTCTATTTCAATCTATTTTTGTGTTTGGAAAATAAATGTGGAACAACCAATTGCTTGTTCTTTAGCATTGGTTATTTTTAAAATGTTGCACATAGTTCTAGAAATACTGCATATTTCAGATCTTTCTTATTTCAGTTAACAGATTTTCATTTTAGTTTTCAGAGCATTGTTCACCCAGATTTGAGGAGAGGCTACGCATCTTCTTCTTCTTCAAGATATGACGATGGAAGAGGGTACTGCTTTTTTTCACTTTAATTTAGATGAAATACAGTGTGAAAAATTGGGGTGCAATGGTTAAAAATCATTGTGTTTTTCCGGAGTGTCTTAAGCTTTTCTGTAGTATCTCCATTATAAGTTAAGTTTCCACACTTAAGTATACTTGAATTTGAGTGCAAAAAAGATAAAGGATGCATTGCTAAGATTCAGAGCTAAATTCAGGAAAGACCAGATACATGATTTTTCTTGCTTGGTTCCTCCTGCCAGGAGAATTTCAATTTCTGATTATGGATTGTTTATCATCACAGGCAAATAGGTAGTCTTCACTTAACTATGAGCCTCCCCAGAGCTACTTAAAATCAACTTCTGGAATTTTGACTGATGCACATATTTACATGATCACGTGTTCAGTTTTGGATGCTTGGAAACTGGCTGCATTTATGACATTTTTGATCACATAATTATGATTTTTGCTGTTTGTTTGCCATTTTCTGGTATTTACTTTTAGCAAAAAATTCCCATTGAAGAAATCTGATTAATGACCACGGCAAAAAAGATTGTAAAATTGGGCTGGTCAAGTGATGACTTGCTTAATGACTGCCACAATTTAAGATTGTGACAACAGAAAATAATATTTGTAACTCAGGGAAACTTGGTGCTCTCTAAGCTTTTTTTTTTTTCCCAGGGTCAATTATGGTTATAAGTCAAGGATTACTTGTACTTACTTCTTATTTTTGGCATTTATTTTCTAATGAACCAGTTATAAACCATAAGCTAGTTGGGCTTATTCTGCTTTGGAAAAGAAATCTCTATTCTTGTCTAATTCAAAATATGTCACAGATGGGGTTATCGAAATACAATCATATCTATTAATAGGTGAACAGCACACATGACTCTATACTTTGTTCACATTAAATCCGTTTTTAATCTAAATTACTGTGATGCCCAAATATGACCACAGAGGTGGGAATTGCTTTTTAATTTGATCTTTGTTTCTCAGACCTCCAGGATTTCCTCGTCGTAGAATGGGTCGAATAACCCACTTTGGAGGTCCAAGTCCCCCACCAATGGCTGGTGGTGGATGAGGAAGGTAGCCCATCTTTTTTCTTCTTAAGATACTCTGCCCAAAAGTCACTTTGAACTCAGCTAAAAAAATCATAATGCTTAACGTCACAAGAATAATCTTGTAGGATTTCAAATACTTAATAGACCAAGTGGTTGAACTTTTCTGTTTCATTTTTATCCTTATTCAAAAAGGTAAATGTATATTACATAAAATAAGATTTGAGATTAGGAAAAATGGGAATGGATATATCCTACATATATAACATCCTATGTTTCCTAGTATAAGTAGTTCGTATTTAGCGACTGTCTCATACAGTGGCCATTCGCTGTTATCATGGTGATAAAAAGTAACTTTTCAACCAGTCCTTGCGCTTGTCATCTTCACAGGTCTGCAAAGCAAAGCTAAAGTAAGATCATGAGCAGAGTTGCAGTTACATTTATCATCTGCTTTACTTAATGATAGTGTTAATGGTGGTCACTAAACAAGGACTGTCTGTAATATATTCAGTAAAATAAATTGACAAAGAATTGCATGATACTCCTTTCGTTCTCCAACCATCCCCTGCTGTAGTTTCCCGATTTGGGACATCTCTATATTTTGAGAATATGTAGAAATATACTGCAGATACACTGGCAAGCCCTCAGTACTATGATGTTCACTAAATTCTTCCATTATGGAAATTTTTAGTATTCTATTGTATTACATTAGCATAGTTGATTCATGTTGAATGCCCTAATTTTCAGTTATATGCCAAATAACATTGGAACACAATTTAAGCATATTAGTAATATTCTACTTAGAAGTATGGAAGATCAATGTGATTGGCATATATTTACTTACATCTGTATCATAAATAGATTTATCAGAAAGGATGTATACAAAGTAAAGCAAGTTTAAAATGGCTTTTTCAGGTTCTGGAAATATTTTGTTAGATAATGGCTACCAGTAACCATAAAGAAACAAACAAATACCTTAATCAATTTCTCTTTTATTTCTCCATAGGTAAACGCCTGCTTTAAGAAGCAGGCGTCAGACTACATATTTGCATGACTAAAAGAACCTGATCAAGAATGCAGCAAAGGGATCTGAAGGTTGCAAATATATTGTCTAAATGATTTGACTGCTCTGTGAATCAGCAGAACAATGAAGTTGTACTGGGAATTCCATTTTCTAGGATCCAGTGTAACTGAAGTGCAGTTCTATTAAATGCACCTGTTTACTGTCTGTTTTAAGCCTTTTGTATAGCTGTTGGATATTTTGTGCTAGTTGTAAAGTTATGGAAATATATAACTTTGCAAAATACTGAGTTGGGATCATTTAATTGTAATCAATATTTTAGAATGGACAAATTGTGCACATGAAGATTTAAAAAAGCACAATCTCAGAATATGTATGTTAAGATCAGGAAGAAACTGCTACAAACTTAAGCTACTTCTAACATCCCACTAGATCTATATACCTTAAAATGCTTTTGGTGAGATTATTACATGTTCAAATTCTTTTCTTTTTATTCTAATTTTAGCATATACACATTCATACAAATCTTGGTTATCTCAGTTATGTTTTGAAGGAAAATGGTGTCTTGTGTTTTGAACACTAATTGATTATGGGTTAAAGTCAGCAGACCATCTGTGGACATCTAGCTGTTTGAAAACTATAATTCCCATTTTTCCCCCATTATCTACACCTATTATCTGTGTTACTTAAAATTTATGATCTGTTTCATTTTGACCTCTTCTTTGCCATTTTAAATCCCAGATAAAAAATATGACCTTATTTCAGTTTATGTTAATAAATATATAAATAAAAGTGCATTGATCATGATTGCTAAATCCTCACACTAAATCCTGGTAACTATTCATTTGCAAAACTTAATGCTCTCCAAGAGTTTTAGACTAACTCAGTTTCCCTTAAGTTTCATTCTGTTTATGTATGGGAGTCCAATTCATCTATAAGTACCATTACAGAGGAAGCTCTAATGAGTTTTCTGGGACAATTTAATACAATTTCATACTGGAATCTCCCTTCTAAAAAAAATTATTTCTTAAGTTTCTTTAACAGATTAGTATATTCTGTGTATTTTTCTGCCAGCTGTACATTGCTCTTTTTTATGCTGAATATTGTATGTGACTTGAGTGTTTGGAAGTTGACTGGATCTATAGAAAAGGATGCTGCTGGCAAGTGATGGCATATTGCATTAGGATTAGCTCTATTTAAAAGTGGATATAAAACTGGTTTTAAAAGGGACCATTACAGGGGCTGGATAAAACATTTAAAGAGTGCTTTGCAAAATATAGTAGCAAAAGTAAGGCTCTCCCCCGCTTCTGAATTACTAAAGTTGTACATCCTTGAGATAGCTGTTCCAAAGACTGCCTCTGGCTGTTTGCACATGTGGGTGCAGGTACAGCTGTGCCAGCAGTTCCCTGTGGAAATGTCTGCATACAAATACACAGCTGGTCAACAAAGGAAGGAAAGCAGCTTTCCAAAGGAGACAGCTACTTTTCTGCTTTTGAGGAAATAAGCTTTGCTGGTGTTAGTGCATTTGTAAAACTCTTCTTTCATATGTGCTGTACAGCTTTAGGAAACTTTAATAAACTTCAGCAAAGATCTTATAATTTTTCTCTTCTCTTTTTAAATATGATGTTAAGAGGTAAGGATGCCATTCTTTTAGCAATCCTTTGCTTTTTCTCCTGTGGCATTAAAAGGAACAGGAAACCTGGCAGATCCTATGCGCATTTTAGCAATAAGAGAGATGACAGCCTTGAAACAATGACTCAACAGAAGAACACCAGGGTTCCCCCACCCCCTTAAAACTTGGGAGGAAAACTTGCATATTTTTCTAAAGGCGGAAATTACATCATTTAGTCATTGCCGATTCCTATTATTTCAAAAAATACCACGTTAAGCCTTGTCAATAAAACTATCTTGTTAAATAGAGATTCAAATGGTATATAGCAGTGGTGGTGAATCTATGACATGCGTGCCACAGGTGACACGCAGAGCCCTCTGTGGGCACATGCTCTGCTGTGCCTGCATGAGCACTTCCTGCCTCCCGGTGGCCAGCTGGTCTTCAAGTCTGCAGTGCATGCACAGGGGAGGCAGGATGCATGTGCATGCAGAGGTACATGCATGTGCAGGGTGTGCACGCATGTTGCATTTTGGGTATGCACGTGCCTGCACACAGGCTTTGGGCACTTGGTGCCAAAAAGGTTCGCCATCATTGTTAGGGTGATTTCTAGTAGGAAGCATCTAGTAGGAATAGCTCAGTTTTAAAAGTAAGAAAAAAATAAAACTATCTTGGCTGAAATATCGCCCCCATCCCCAAACTCAGGTATTTTGTTAATAGGTCCCAAGCTTTCTGTTCATGACCCATTTTATGCTAAGAATTAACAGATGGATGCAAACTTTGGTCATATGTATAATAACGTTTTGTATTTGTGGAACAGAAAGTTTTGTTTGGGGTGGGAGGAAAAATGGGAAAAGTGAAAAAAACAGGGATAAACTGGAAAAATTGGTGAGTAGGCCAACTAGATTTGCTGTGTTGGGACATTGAAAGTGATGAAATGGAGGTGCTGGGAATCCAGGAAGCAGTCATAGGGTGGGTTGTGGTAGGTACCAGTAATGACAGTTCAGCAGAACCTCCAGAATGCTACGGTTGAAAGAAAACAATTTGGCATTATGATGCAAGCTCCTACTCAAAAATCCATTTCATTTAATTTCAAGCAGCTGAGTTCACACTTATCTGCTAAGGCTGTGCTTCTCAACTTTGGCCATTTGAAGCGGTGTGGACTTCAACTCCCAGAATTCTTCAATATTGGCTGAAAGCTATCTCCATGCCATGGAAATGCAAATGCTCCCTTGGATATCAGGCACCTCCCTTCTTGACCACATCACAAGTGACACCATTCAACAGCATTTTGGTGTGGCACCAATTACAGGGAAGATGAGAGAAGGCCAGGTCCGCTGGAATGGAAGCAGCTTTCACCATTGCCAAGATAGCCTACCAACTATAAGACAATGGCCAGCGACCTCGCGTGCATCCAAAACAAAAGAAGGTGAGACACTGTCAACAAAGACATGCAAACCACAGGCCTGCACCAGTGATGGGATTCAAAAAAAATTGCTACCAGTTCTGTGGGCGTGGCAGGAGAAGGATACTGTAAAATCTCTAGTCAGAGGTGGCATTTGCCAGTTCTCTGAACTACTCAAAATTTCTGCTACCGATTCTCTAGAACTGGTCAGAGCCTGCTGAATACCACCTGTGCCCTAGAGATGCTGCTGCTGACCACGCAGTGGCATTCAATGATCTGAAAAGCAGACCCTGCACCTGCTGGAATACTCTAGGAAGAATAATAATGCTGGGAGTTGAAGTCCACACAGCTTCAAATGACCAAACTTAAGCAGCCCTACCTAAGGCAAAGCCTAGTGAAATCTGATTATTACAATCTCTGTGGACCACTCCTGAACTCATTTTTGGGCCTCCCCTAAAATAAACAAAGATTGTTTATTTTAAAATTGGTTTTTTTCTTTTGTTTTCTTTTCAGAGGCCCAATGCCTGGCAGTGACGAAGTTCGCCAATTTCAGCTTTTGTCAAACAGGTCTGGCTTCAGCCACTTTTACAATAACGCGCTCCCTGGAGGCGGCATCATCGGTGGTGCACCCAGCAACAGAAGAGCCGCCCCTCTGAACAGCCTTCACTGTTTCGGTGTACCTATGAGGAGTCTATAGCAGTGGTTCTTAACCTTTTTGAAAGAATCGCCCCCTTGAGCCATTGAGGAAGTTATCATCGCCCCCCTCCCCCAACCTAACCTTTCAATCACAACACAGGGAAATAATTCTTCAATTTATGCAAACACGTTTTTTGTTTTCTTTAAAATTGCCATCAGGACATATCGATGCAAATAATTTATTTCCAGTCTTTTTCCCCATATCTCAATTGTGTGAAAAAGTCTGATGCCACCCATCACTTTACTCCCAAACTTTGTGATACAAGTATTTCATTATCATCTTATTTATTCAAGACGCTTAAATGCAATGACCACTGAAAACAAAATTCAATTGCAAGAAAATGAAATGGCCAAAAAAACCAGTAACATTTAATGATTTAATCACAAGTGAATTTTAAGACGCAAAAAGACATATAAAAAAGGGCATAAGAACAAACCGCAATGCAGGAACTAAGAATTTCAAGACGAAAACTCTGAAACCAAATTGAGATTCGAGGAAAATATATATTCATGCATCCTGTAAAAAGGGTTAAAAAGACACAAAGAAAATTTTTACAGAACATTTTAAAACACAGTTCAATCCACTAATAGCGAGCGGTCTGATGTTTTTGTATGATATACAGCTGTTCACTGTACGAAAAAAGTCTCAAAAGTGTCCCCCAAACTTCTCGCTCCATCGACCCCATATCACTCCCCTTCCGTTCCTTCGCCCCGGCGTCGCCCCTTTTCTTTCCATCGCCCCCCTGAAAAACAAAATCGTCCCCTAGGGGGCGATATCGCCCAATTTAAGAACTATAAGAACCAAGAAAGAAGGTGGCGCACCAAGGCCCTTAAGAAAATTAATAAATAAAAAATAGCCGGCCGTGATCGGCGGCTTGTTTCCCTGTCACCGGGAAGTCAAACCACCCCGGGATCGTTTTGATCTCCCGGAGGAACCGCAGCCCCGCTTCCTCCGGCCCACTTCGCCGCTGAGGCAGGGGCGGGCGCCTGCTCTCGCCGCCGCTTTCCCTCGGAGGAAGAGGAGGAGGAGTCCCGGCCGGCCTTTGGAGCGAACGAGAAGATGACCCAGGCGGAGAAGGGGGAAACGGCCGCCGCTGCGGCGGCCGCCGAGAACGGGAAAGACAAAGAGCGCGACAAGGAGAAGGAGCAGCGCGGTGCCAAGAGGCCCATCGTCCCCGCCGCCGTGCCCGACTCGTTGCAGGAGGTGAGCCCCGCGACCCGCGCGTAAGGATCGGGTTCAGCTGCGCCGTCCTCTCCGGAGCCCTTTCCAACGCCGGGGCTTCTTCGCAGCTGGCCTTGCCTCCAACCGAGACAGAGTTGCAGGAAGCCTCCGGAGATGTGGAAACCTTTCTCGGCAGCGCGTGGTCATTGAGGCCTGCTTTTTTTGGTGTTGCCTCGGCAGGGGCTGCCCTTCGGCCACCCACCATCCCCGGTTGTATTTGCACCCGGAAGGCCTCGGGCGCTCCACTAGCCGGGGAAGCCAAGCATCAACCCGGAAGCAGCACGGGCTACCTCTTAAGAATGGCTGCGTCCGGGTAGCCATCGGGACTTGAGCTCGGTTTGATCAAGCATTCCCTTAGTTTAGTTTACTTAGTTGCGGAAATGAGTGTTTTCTTGGACTATAGTCGTTCCTATTGATGACACGGATTTGAGCGGGTCTTTAAATATATATAAATATATATATATATATACACATAGATACATACATATATACACACACACTTAGATATAGATTAGAGATAGATAGATAGATAGATAGATAGATAGATAGATAGATAGATAGATAGATAGATAGATATAAAAAAACATTGTAAAGCCTTAAGTGAGTCAGGAGGAGAAGACTTAATGTTATACCACTGCATGCTCCTCCTCACGAATGCAGGGTAGTTTTTTCCTATTTCATTTAGAAGGACATTGACCATATTTTCTTGGGAAAAAATCAAGGAGAAACATGAAAAGGGTGTAAAATCTGAAAGAAGTTCATAAGGATTACAAGAAAAGTTTGTTTATGACTTTGTTTTACAAAGGAAAATTCAAAACCAAAATCAAGAAAAAAAAATCAGTTTTCTAAAATAAAGGACTGTCCCTTTATAATGGAAGACATATGGTCATAGTATTTATAGCTGGGTTGCACAATTGACTTATTTTGTGGCCATACTTGTCACTTGAAGTGATACAGGTAGTCCTTGATTTACAACCATTCATTTAGTGACCATACAAAGTTACAAAGACGCTGAAAAAACTTTATGACGTATGACTTTATGACAGTTGCAGTGTCTGTGATCACCTTTTGTGACATTCTGACAAGATCAGTGAAGAAGTCAGATTTATGTAACAACCATGTTACTAACTTAACAACTGCAGTGATTCACATAACAATTGTGTCAAGAAAGGCATAATGGAACAAAACTCACTTAACAACTGTCTTGCTTACCAACGGAAATGTTGGGCTCAATTGTGAGTCGAGAACTACCTGTGCTATCTATAGCATTTGCTCAAATGTATCTCTTGTGTAACTTTATGCTTAGTAAGAATAAACTCCACTGAGACCAAGTATTAAAATACTATATACATAATCTCTCTTGTGTGTGAATATTGCATGGGGAGCCTTGTACAAGAAAATCTTTGGGATTTTAAAAATACTTTCTCCAGTGTAAGATTCTCTCAGGAATTTATCAAATTGGGAACATCATATTAAATTAAGTACATAATGTACTTAATTATTTGCAATGATATAATGTAAGTATTCTAAAGTAAAATCTATTCAATAGAGCCATTTCTAGATAACCGTGCATAAGTATCAATCTACTTTTCTACTCCCCCATATCGAGGCATACGTATATGATTTTTTGCTTAGGTTTGTATAAAATGTGCAAGTATAGTGCATTTTTTCATTGCTTTTAAATCAAAAACTTTTTATTGATATAAAGGGAGTCTGCAATGAAACTGTGTAACTCAAAAACCTAGGGTAGCTTACAATGGAATAAGCCTAATTTATAATATTGTCATAGAAAATTGTTTTCAAAATAAAATATGGGCTTGTTTTATTATTTTTAGCAAATCCAGAGCAACTTCATTATTGTGATACATCCTGGCTCAACGACTTTAAGGATTGGAAGAGCCACAGATACGCTTCCTGTTAGCATCCCGCACATCATCGCAAGAAGACATAAACAACAAGGACAAATCTCATACAAAGACAGTTGGCTTCTAAGAGAAGGACTCAACGTAAGTCTTCAATATTTCAGTCTTACATGAAACTGAAACAATTTTTGCTTATATGAAATATATTATTTTCATGGCTTGTTCTTGTATGCTAAATTTGTGTTGTTTTCCAATCTTCTCATATCTATGGCTGTGATTTCTACTTGTGCACTGTGCCTAACAAATAATGCAAGGGGGGGTTAAGACGTACTCCACCCTATAGACTCTTTGGGGAAATACAAATGGCTTTTATTGAATTACCATCATCAATAGATATAAACAGATTATTTGTATGTTTTCTAAATGCGTGGAAGCTAAAAAAAATTTACATCATCCAGTTTCTAGATAAGGGATCTGTGTTTTTTCTCCTTTGATGGCAGAACATATTTGGTCAATAATGTTATTTCTGCTTTACGGAAAACACTGAACTTAGCACATAACAGTCATCTTGTCACAGACTGCTGCCCACATAAAACTTTGGTAGCATCTTCTTGTTACTAGATGAGTGTAATGCTCAAGGTTACAGGAGTCTGAGGTATTAACAGTCTAACATCCAATAACCAATATATGTATCTAAACTCTCCATCTGACTTCTGAAACAAGGATTTTATTCAGAAGGAATTTCTTCCATATTAAATTTGGGGCCCTTGCTACATCAGTTTCAGCAGGTATAATGTCAACATTATCATCAGCGGTTTCTATAGGATAATACCACCAGAAAAGCCTTCTTGAGTTCCCACAATTTTGATGGGGGTAGGGATGGTTCCCCAAGATAGGGGAAGTGAACAAAATGAAAGGACACCCTTTATTACCATTCTTCAGTCATAGCATGGGGATTTTCCTATCTCTCCAGGTTGTTGAGGTGGCATTGGTAGCAATAAGTATGCTAGGATGTGTGGATAATGAAATAAGAACATACCCTGCAGTTAGTTTGATTATTGAGGGCAGAGGTTACGTTCAAAGAGTTAACCTCAAATTCTTTCACCACCCCCAACCCCAAAGTCTCAGCCCAGCTATAGAGCAGAAGCAGGCAGATCTGGACATCAGGTCATTTCAGCACCTATTCAGGCAGTGCCAAATCTGTAAATCAACAAATTTTTAAATTTCAATTTTAACAATTGAAAAATGACATTCAATTGTTGCCTGCTTTTTTTTTAGCTTAGATACCAATTTACCAGCCATTTTATGGAGGATAAAATGAAATACGAAATATGGAAGTTTGAGTTTTTATATGATGTAGGTTTTTTTTAATGTAATAGATTGTTGGTTGTAGATTGTTAGTTTTTGAAATAACTAACTGATATAACTAGCTGATATAAAATAATTAGTCCTAGGCTTGGACTAAATTACTGACTGATTTTTATTTAGAAACCAGAAAGTACTGAACAAAGACAAAATGGGCTTAAAATGGTTGACCAAGCAATATGGTCTAAGAAGATGTCAAATGGTGCCAGACGTACACCTATCTCACCTGATCAGGTATCTCATTTATAAAGTGTGGTTAATACTAATAGCATGTTTTAAGCAGAATCAGTAAAGTCTGATGAAATTTGAAAGCTCAGAGGAAGATAAATGGTCACAGAATCAACTTTGCAGTAATTCAGCACTTTAGACAGAGTCTATTAAATATTAAGTATCACAGATAAATAAAAAGATCTTTGAATGGAAAGATTTTTGAGCTCAAAGACTTAAAATGGCATGTTCCAAGTGGAATTCTGTATGTTGAACTTCAATAGCTGGCATTATTGCCAAAAAGACCTCTCTCAAGTAGTGCCTAGTAGCGTACATAGACTTTTGGAATATGTGGTTTAATTTGGTACTGTTTCAGATATTACGGCCTCAAGTAGTGAAGGATTTTATAAGTTAACTTCAGCACTTTGAATTTGGCTCCAAAATTAATTGTGATGCAGTAATAATAATGCATAAACTGTAATTGGGACTAAGACTTTCTGAAACTAAGAAGCATGATTATAAAGTGCCACGTCACATCACCAGACTACTTAGTGGTGGACATTCTAAAACTTCTGGTTGCCATTCTTAAATAAATCCAACGCTTTCACGAAGCATGACAACACATGGTCACCATTTCCAACCTTCTACCAGCTTCTCCATTAATTTTGCTTGTAAAAAAACAGTGTAGAAGATTGCAAATGGAGATCATGTGACCACAGGACACTGCAACCATTGTAAGTATGAGGATTTGTCATAAGTACCTGTCACTCAGTACTATCATAAGCTTGAACAGTTGCTGAAGATGGTCATAAGTGAGGACCACCTGTATTTTATCATATTTCACAATTCTCAATATCTACTCACCATAGTTTGAACTAATTGAACTTTCAGGATTGTCTTCAAAGACAGTGGACAATATTTAGGAATATACATGACCTCAGAATTCAAGTGAACAACCCTGCATTATTAAAGTAAAGATTATTTTTGTCTATAGCTTGATTTTTTTTATTTTTAAGTGATTTCTTTAAATGTTTATTCTAGATCCGATCTTACAACAGACAAATGCGACCTGCTATTTTAGATCACAGCTCTGGGGCAAAATGGACAAATACTGCTCATCACCCAGAATATCTTGTTGGTGAAGAGGTAGGGCTTCTTTTTTTCCTCACTGCAGTAAAGTTACATGTGTAATTTTGATTTAAAAGTTGTTAAACTGTATGCAACTTTAAAAGGTCTATTTTGACTTGATGCAATCATAAACTGTCTTTACTTGAAGGTCAATCCTTGCTCCAGTAAGGATAAATGATTCCAATCTGTCTTCAGTGAGATTCCATAGTTCTTCCAAGAACATCCCTTTGATCATTTCCATCCGTTTTGTCTATTGTCTTTGGTTTCTTCTGTTTCTCTCAAGCTCTCCAAGCATAATTCATTTCTTCTAATCGATCATCTACAAATATCACATTCACAAAGTATGTAAATTTCTGCTTACCATTTGTTGCCTCAAGAGGGCAGTTAATTATATCCTGAACAAGTTGTTTGACCTAGTAATGTTCTCCAAAACCATAGTTTGAAATATCTTTATTCCAGCATGTCTATCTAAAGAAAAGAAACTGCTGCTTAAAGAATGGCCGACACATGCAGCATTCGTGCTTTTGTACTTTCTGAAACAACTTTTGGGAGGCAAATGTAATATGGCACAACAGTGATATTTGTCAAACAATTTCAAGCTCCGTATTCATTAATTCTGATTGGTTTTGTGACCATTGTCATCCAAGAGTCAGTTAATTTTCTTCTCCACTAAGGACAGGCAGATCAAAAATTACTCTTTCCCCCAGTTTCAGCACTGCCTTTCTCATTTACTTCCTACTCTGTTCTGCTTTTTTTTTTTTTTTTGGGGGGGGGGGGGCTTTTGTGGAGTCTCTATGCGTGTTTTTTTTACTTCTTTATTCTTTCATTTCTGATTCTATTTTATGAAAAAAAATTCCCCTCTCATTTTTTCTTTCTGCTTCTCTGGCCATTGTGGCTTTTATTGCTAGTGGCAAATAAATAGTCCTAAATTTGGAAGCCAAAGGCAAACATATTCACTAGGAAACCCAAATAGGCAAAATATTATGCATTTTTAAATAATGTGTAATTGAGCAGTGGGCATTTGTATATAATGTATTGCTTTCTGTTCTTTCTCCAATTAAAAAAACAAAGTACAGGTAGTCCTCAAGTTATGACCATAATTGATCAAATTTTTGTTGCTAAGGGAAACATTTGTTAAGTGAATTTTGCCCAGGGCTGGGATTCAAAGTTCTGTGGGTGTGGCTAAGTTGTTGGGCGTGGTTTGGTGGTCATGTGGCTGGCTGGGTATGGCCAACTCAACATCACTCACATCGAGGCACGCATCTCCTCGCCTGGCCTCTCATGACTGTGGGAATGCTGCAACAGTCGTAAGTGTGAAAAATGGTCATAAGTCACTTTTTTCTGCCATTGTAACTTTAAATGGTCACTCCACACAAGCAAAGTACCAGCAAAGGAGGGGGGAAAAACTCCAGAGAAGTTCCTGAGACATAAGAATGTAATAAGCGTTAACAGAGAGGCAGTTTCTATAAGCTACACCAGAATGTTTCCTTCCAGCCTTCCTTACAGGATTAGGCCAGTAATTTCTTCTAACAACCGGTTCTCCGAACTGCTTAGAATGTTAACAACCGGTCCTAGAGAATAGGTGTGAACCTGTAGAATCCCACCCCTGATTTTGCCCCATTTTATGACCTTTCTTGCCACAATTGTTAAGTGAATCAATGTTAATAACCAAGTTAATAACATGGTTGTTAAGTGAATCTGGCTTCCTCATTGACTTTGCTTGTGAGAAGGTTGCAAAAGCAGATCACATGACCCTAGGACATTGCAACCATCATAAATATGAACTAGTTGCCAAGCTTCTGAATTTTGATCATGTAACCATGGGGATGCTGCAGTGGTTGTAAGTGTGAAAAATGGTTAGAGATCACTTTTTTCAGCACCGTTGTAATTTTGAATGATCACTAAATGAACTTTTGTAAGTCAAGGACTACCAGTGGTTTGTTTGTTTTTAATGGATGGGTAAGTATGTTATAGTTTGACGGTGGATGTGATTTTAGACTTCATTTCATTTCAAGTAGCACAAAGAAAGAGAAAAAGATGATATGTCACGAAGGAGAGAAAGTTGACCAGAGGAATGGAATATGTACAGAATATTGTGGTTTCAATCCATATTGACTCTGGCTCCTTCCCACATCAGCTGCAGCCTCATTTTGACAGTATACCATATTTAGGATGGTATGATATATGGAAATTCCAAATAGTTGTGATTAAATTTTGGATGAAGTGTGTGTGTGTGTGTGTGTGTGTGTTTTAATTTATATTTAGAATTGCAGGAGAGAGATGGGTGGTGAATAAATTTAATAATAAATATTTTTTTATAGAGTAGAATATTAAAATATAAATATAAAGTTAATATTGCATATGATAACCCCCTCAGCAGAATTAAAAAAGTTCCTAGTTAATAGAAATGGTGTTTTGCTTGTTTCTTTTTATCCCTTTCAGGCATTATATGTTAATCCTCTGGACTGTTACAATGTTCATTGGCCTATTCGGAGGGGACAGCTGAACCTCCACTTAGGAGCTGGGGGCTCCCTTACTGCAGTTCTTGCTGATCTTGAGGACATATGGTCGCATGCAATTCAGAAAGATCTAGAAATATCTCTAAAGGATTTGAAGGTGAACAATGATTAATGTCAAATGAATGTAACAATGACAGTCAAGTTACTACCATTACTGTAGTACTGCCATTAATATAGCCTAAGGCCATATACCATGTTCACTTTCTTACATATTGTCTGCATTATCTATAATAATAATTTATTTATTTGATTTCTGTAGCCTCCCATTTCACATATATGACTCTTAGGTGGGCTATAATAAAGAATATACAGAATACGTAGCATAAAAATAAAAAACACACAGCAGCCAAGCACCCTCTTGCTTGAGTTGAACTAAAGCCTGTTGTGCCCCGTCTGTCCTTGACAGCCTCAGGGTAATGAGATAGAGCCACCAAGCTGTAATTCAGGCAGTTGGTGGGATGGGGGTATATATAGCTGAGTATCATTAGCATATTGATGATATCTGCTCCGAAACAGTTGGATGATCTCACCCAGTGACTTCAGGTAGATGTTAAAACAGAAGAGAGAATACTGAGCCCTGCAGTATCCCACAAAGGAGAGGCTGCCAGCTGGATCTCTCTCCCCACCCCAATCATCACTGTTAGGGATACACCCTAGCAGAATCTGCACAGCAGTCAGGCAGGCAGGCAAAATATGTGAGATAAACGTTTTTGTAGCTTACACTCAGTAAAACAGATACACTGTGCTAGTTAAATAGTTTATTCCAGCAAGAGTTTTAGCATAGTCAAACAGTCCATATATCATTCACTAGTTCAGTCCGTCCGGGGATTATTCAGTTGCAAAGTCCAGTGTCGAAAAAGAGGTCAGTAAACTTACAAATATCAGTCCAGTAATATATCTCCTCGCAGTAGAGATATGAAGAAGTCAAACCTCCTTTCTTCCTCCAGCGTTCAGCAACTCAGCAGTAGGGAAACACGCAGTTAACAAAAACATCAATCCATCAAACCAGCAATCGTCAGGAAATCCAGCAGGTTCTCTTGCTCCCTCTTATGGCAGTTTCACACCGCACCCAAAATTACATGCTTTGCAGTTTAAAGTGATACATACTTAAATTTACTATCATAGTTTATATATATTATTTTACCCAAACTATGTTAGGTAACCTTGTTATTCCTAACAATCACCAACTAGGCCAGGGGTGTCAAACTCACGGCCTGCGGGCCAGATGTGTCATGCTCTGGCCACGCCCATGCCCAGTTTAACGAAAGGCAGGAAAGTCACAATAGGTCATGTGATGCCACCGTGACGACGTGAGTTTGACACCCCTGAATTACACTGACCATTTCCTGGGTAACTAAATTATTTTATTTATTTAAATGCTGACATTAGCATTTACCAAAAAAAAACAAAAAACCCACCCCATTTCAGATGCTTGTCATTACTTGTCAAATGGCATTGGTCATTCTGTCACATGACACCATCTTCTTTTTTCCCTTGTTCAGTATTACAGATGTATTTTACTAATTCCTGACATCTATAATAAGCAGCATGTGAAAGAAATCGTAAATATGACTCTCCTGAAAATGGGCTTTTCAGGTAAATAAATCACTATAATCTGCTACCATGATGTTTTAAATTAATTTCTGCATTTCAGTCACAATTGTTTTATCTTTGTGATTCTTGCCACGCATCCATCCAGTGATAAATCCATTATTTTCAACTGCCAAACTGAGATGCAAGTCTGGCTATAAAGATGGAATTATATTGATTTAAACCTATCTAGAGTATGTCTAGGCAGTGTAAACTTTTTTTTCACATACTTAACAATCTTCTCATTATTTACTTACATTGCCAAAAAAAAAAGATCTGAAGTATTTTCTACATTCCAATAGCAGTTTCTTAAGAAACGACTGAAGAGTTGAAGAGTTCATTTAGCTGTTTTATTGCTCAAGCCTATATGCAACCATCTTCTTAGACTTGAAAGTTTGTGCGTGGATGAGACTAGATAAGGTTCAAGGGCATGGGGGGGAAGTGTTTGGACTTTGCCCTCTTGTGCCCACATAGGGATTCTAGACTTAAGTTCTCCTTTGACTCCTCCCCCTGGCTTGGCCCTCTCTCCTATACTTTATAGGGGGAATGGTTGCACAATCACCAGCTTCCTTACCAGTTATAAATGTTTATTTGCCAAACAATATGATTCACTTTCCCTCTCAATCCATCCCTGGTTTCAGAACAGCAGGGCTGTGCCAGAAAAACAATTTGTACTATGTACTAACCAATCACTGTTTGTGGGTGAGAGCGTATTTGAGTATCAAGAGTTAATAATTTTGTCCTTAATATGGTAACTGGGGAAAGGATTGAGCCAATTCCATCCTTTGGTCACCCCAAACGGTCAAAATCCCATATGCAGAAGTCTTTAAGAAATCACAGACTTAGAAGCAAAGTTGGCCCAAATGTTCTGGCAGCTGGAAGAGACATGCAAATGTACATCTTGTTTCATGGGTTTGGTTATCTCAGTGCAAGTTTTATTCCTGAGCCTTAAAGTAGCAGAGTTTTATTGTGTGCATGCACACACCCAAATCTTGAATGTGATTCTCAAATATATTTCCAAGAATAGGGGAGAAATGCAGCCCTAGACCTAAAAAAAAGTCCTTTTTTTAACAAGTTATACTGTACTTTGAGAGACAAAGTTTATATAAATGTCAGTGATTAGTTGGGAAATAAAGAATAGTGAAACACAGATAGTTTTCCTGGGTAAGTTGACCTATTGACAAAAGACACAGGTGGAATTAAGCACAGTTCTTATTTCATTGACAATGGACACATAAATTGAGTTTTATAAAATGGGATTTGTAAATTGTTCTGTAGTCTGTGACAAATGCAAAGCTGTCTTTGCACAATAGAAATAGTATATAGCTGTTACAGCATCCTTTTGTTTTTAGGAATAATAGTGCATCAAGAATCTGTATGTGCTACTTTTGGAAGTGGTTTAGGCAGTGCATGTGTTGTTGATGTGGGGGATCAGAAGACAAGCATCTGCTGTGTTGAAGATGGGGTTTCACATCATAACACCAGGTAACAATCAAAAATTAGGAGCAAACATTTTACATACATTTAATATTTTTAGTAAAATTTAACATTTTATCCTGGTCAAAGAATCTTGCGTAAATAACCAGTTACTCAATGTCTGTTTAAAGTTTCAGTGGACATCCCCTAAACTACTAATGACCCATTTTGAAGTTCCAACATTGTCTCCCATGGTCATTTGACCGCATTTGGGGCACTTGGCAACCAGGCTGCATTTATGGGCATTTGCAGGGCCCTGCTGTCACATGACTGTGATTTATATTTTTGCCAGAATCCAGTGTTTACTTTTGATTTCCAGCAAAAGCCAGACCTTAGTGAACAATTGGATTGCTTAACAACTGCTGTAAAAATGGTCATAAAATTAGGTCCAGTAATGTGGAGAGCCACTTTTTCACCCCCATGATTTACATTCTTAATTGCGGGACTAAACTATGGATGTAAGTCTAGGATTAGCTACATTTTATAAGTTCCTTTTAATTATCTTTTTAAAAAAGAAAACCTTTCTGAACCATTCTTAAAAATCACTGCAACTTTTGTGTTGGAAAATCAAAGATTGGTACAGCAAAATTCATATTGGACCAAATAAATAACTGGATTAATAATCATGACTATACTGTTTCTTCTAAATGTTTTTAAATTTCTTTCAAGTTAACTAGCTTCCTCTGGAAAAGCCTATGTTCTGACAACTGTGTGTGGGCTTTTCTCTTTTTTTAAGGTTGCGTCTTGCATATGGTGGCTGTGACATATCAAGATGTTTTTATTGGCTTATGCAACGAGCTGGGTTTCCTTATAGAGATTGCCAGCTAGTTAAGAAAACAGACTGTCTTCTTCTCCAGCACTTAAAAGAAACGTTTTGCCATTTAGACCAGGTAAGATCTAAAGCTGACAAGTTCTGCATTTTTAAAAGTCAGACTCTTATGACTGAGGCTTTTTAAAATGGATAGAGAATGCATCTGGAAGTTTATAAAACTAATGTGTTTATGACACTGAAAAGGGAAAAGTAAGTAAGAGTTATGATGACGTAGTGGTGAAGATTCTCACCTCCCACTTGGAAGGTTGAGAGGTCAATCCTAGGCAGTAGGCAGATGTTTTATTTCTAGGGCACAAAGTAAAAATATCTGCTATGAACTCTACCTAGGTGTCAGGCCACTAATCTAGCCACTAATCTCTGAACTCCATCCATTTACCCTGACTCTACCCTGTATTAAGGGACTACAGGGTTGTAAAAAGAAAAAAGAAAGAAATTGGGAGACTAGTCCTGTCTTAGGCATGTTAGGCAGCTGGATGATTTTGGGCTAGTCACTCTCTTATCAGCCCAACCCACCTCAGAGGGTTGTTTTGTGGGGAAAATAATGAGGAAGGGGTTTTGGATGTTTGCTGAGATAAAGAAATAGGGGGGGGAACCCCACCCCACCCCCAGCCCAAACCAGGCTGCCAAGCCACAAAGGTTGGGGACAGCTGCATTAGATAACAAAGCCAGCTGAATGATTTTGGGCCAGGTTGTTCAGCCCTAGAAAAGAGGCAAGAGTTAAACCACTTTTGAAATCTTGCCTAGAAAACTACAGGGACTTATCCAGGCCATCCAGTTTTGTGACTTGAAGGCACCCAATGAACAAAAACCCAGTGTGTTACTTCAAAGTATACACTCATAGTTAAATCTATCAAACATTTATACTTTCTTTTATTATTAGGATTTATCTGGACTGAAAGATCATGAGTTTCAAGTCCGTCACCCAGATTCTCCAGCTTTGTTGTATCAGTTGCGCTTAGGAGATGAAAAGTTACAGGTAAAAAACTGTGAGATGCATCTCTTATAGTGCTTTGAACGAAATAGAACATTTCTTTTGAGCTTTAAATTTTAAAAAAGTTCCATTAGAAATTTCCCATCAATCTATTTTGTGTTGGTTCAAGCATTGTATATTATGACAATGGGAAACAGTGAGAACTTGGAAACTGCTACTGTTCTCTTGTTTATTACTCTAGGGTAGCAAGATCACATTGGATAGTAGTCCATGGTAAACTGTATGCTACCTACCTTCTAAATGGTGGGTAATTTGGCCAAGGACTATGCAGTATTTGGATTTTTAGAAAAAAACATTAAAATAAATTTTCCTAGGAAGTAATGGGACCATAACTCTCTTCTGATTAATTAGAAAAAATGGTCGTCTTGTCCAGTATTCTTCATTTGGGGGAATAGTTTGCACATAGGGGAGGTTGCTGGCTGCATAAAAGGATAGATGGTATCCTTCATTATTGTGTTTACCCAGATGAAATAATCCTGTGGTTCCAGTTCCTCCATATCTTCAATTTTTGAGAGTCAGTTAAACAATGGCCAGTAAAAGTTTATGCCATCTTGAGCTTCTGTACAAAAAGTAGGCTGTAAATCTAAAAACTAAACATTTCATTTTGAGGGTTCTTTTATTAGTTTGTAATATAAAATACAAAAGTACAAAAGAAAATAGGAGGAAAATAGGAGGAGAAGGGAAAACTCTTCATATTGTACACATCGTTCACCTTTTACTAAAAAACAAATATTAAATATTGTGACCTACATATCCTGCTGAGATAAATTATTTAATCATAGGTTGTTTAACTGTAACCCAACTGCAAGGAAGATGGAGGAATCTATGGATAAATATTGACAATAATTTGAAATTATTTTCTTTCACAATTAGGCTCCAATGGCACTATTTTACCCAGCAACTTTTGGAATTGTGGGTCAGAAAATGATAGTTTTGCAGCACAGGTCTCAAGGTGATCCTGAGGACCCTCATGACGAACATTATCTCTTAGCTACACAAAGTAAGCAAGAGCAGGTGTGTGTGCGTGGCTTTCTCTCTCCTTTTGATTTTTTTCCCCCTTGTATGCTGTACATTGAACTCAGTGTCTCATTCTATTTACTTAACACTTTCCAGAGTATTGGTAGATGAATTCTATGCATATGACCTGCCATGTTCTGGCATTTCCCACTAAGTTGAGCTAGCATTTCTGTGTGCCCATAGCTATGTTGACTAAGGATAATGTAGACCAGCAGATCTGAAAAGTATCAGGTTATGAGGATGAGAATATAGTCAGATCAGGGCTTCTCAACTACATGTGGTAGTTATAACTTAAGCATGCTTTTTTAGCTAATACTTATCGTTTATAAAGCTGGCTTGTTTCAGCTATCTATAAGATTATCTAGTGTTTAATACACAGGTGTCATAAGAAACTGCACATAATTTAAAATAAAAGAAGACATTCTAGAAGTTCTTGCAATCATGCCAAAGAGGACAAGAGACAGCTATTACAATTGGCACAGTCTATGTGTAATTGTGCTTGTGTGCTTATATGTATGTTTACAGTGTTCAACTATCCTGAACTATAATCACTATGATACCTTAATTTGTTTTTGTTACCTAGATACCTTCTTTTTCAGGGTTTTTTTTAAAAAAAACTAAAATCGATATATAGGATTCTTATTTGGAAGTTATAGAATTGAGTTGAATGCATGTAATTATTGGCTACATTGGAAATATCCAATATAGGCAAGAAGCATACACTATGTTTACGAAAAAAAGAATACCATAAATATAAATTTGCTGCCCTGAAAAGAATAGGCAGTGGGGGAAATATAGAGATAAATATTATTTGCAATCAGTGTGTGTTTTGTCAACCTAACCTTGCCAATTTCAGCTGAAACCAATTTTTCAGTTTCCCCCTAAAATATATGTGAGACACTAGCTTATACCCCTGCCAGAAGCCACATAGAAAAGGAAGGATATGGATAAAAAAACCCACACATTCATATTAATTGAAATATTTAAATTATAAAACCTCACTTCTACCAAACTACCTAGTAACATAAAAACATAGAGATACAAATGCACACATTCACCCAGTGTGGGGGAGTCGAAGTAGTCAAGATGGTAAGTCTGGCAATACAATGCAAGATCCATCACTCCTGGGTGAATTGATTTTACATATATGCACAAGACGGTATGCCCCATCTTTTATCATGGCTGCTTTGATTCTGCCACCCTCTCCGGAAACATCATCACATCCCTGCTCTCATTCACTACACTGGGGATGGGCAACTGTGGCAACTATACAACCATGGACTTCAACTCTCAGAATTCCTGAGTCAACCATGCTCTATACAAACCTTCCCACCCAGGCAAATGCTAATTCCTGGCTCATTTCCAAAGGTGTAACAGAATAGAATAACAAAGTTGGAAAGTCCAACTGCTCAAGCAGGAAACCCTATCCCAATTCAGACAAATGGTTGTCCAAACTCTTCTTTAAAATCTCCAGTGTTGGAGCATTCACAACTTCTGGAGGCAAGTTGTTCCACTGATTGTTCTAACTGTCAGGAAATTTCTCCTTACTCCTAAGTTGATTCTCCCCTTGATTAGTTTCCATCCATTGTTTCTTGTCCTGCCTTCAGGTGCTTATGAGAATACGTTCTTCCTTTGTTTTAGCCTTCAGATCTATGTTCTTCTCTGTATTCTTTCACTTTTTAGCAGGCATATCTGTAGTCATTTACAGCTCATGCATTTTCTTATTTTCAACAGCAACTTATTGGTGAATAGAAAAGCTTGTGAATTTGTTGAGAAATTGTTGAGGTTTTTTTTAGTGTTTTTCTGGATTTTTGTGGTCAACTACTTTGATATATTTTTAAAAATTGGCAAAGTATTAAGTACTGATTCAGTTGTGTGTTGTCAGTTCTCATCCAATGTATACATGCCTATGGTTTTGGATGGGAGAGTCAATTGCAACACTTTTTTACATTAAGAATTGGGTCTAATTAGGAAATAAACTTGAAGGGACAGAAATAGCATTGAGCCTTTTTAGGTGGTCTTCAGCCCAAGTTATGGGCAGGATTTGTGCTTGCTTTTATTGAGAGATAATCTTATTTTTCCTTTTTCCAGTCTGCAAAAGCAACAGCTGATCGAAAATCCATGACCAAGCTGGGTGGATTTGATGGAGATCTCCGAGGCCAATCTGCAAGTGTTGCTGAAAATGTTTATCATTCTGAAGTGGATTTAGGCAGTTCTCATGGTGACTGCATTATTGGTGGAAATGATTCTGAAGAAATGCTAACAACTCACATGTCCCGAAAAACTGCTGTATCTCAGTTTGAAGGGAAAGCTTTAGGTCTTGACAAAGCAATTTTGCATAGCATTGACTGCTGTGGTAAGAAAACTGTATTATTTTTTGTAATATGTAATACTAATTATTGTAGGCAAGGTTTATGCTAGTCACAGTAAATTTTATCAGTGTGTGTATGAAATAATTTTAATACTTTTCCAATTATTGTATTAATCATTATTTTTTTAATTTGTTTGCTACCGTTTATTTAAAATTCTTTCATGTGCACTTTTCTAGCCTCAGATGATACCAAAAAGAAAATGTACAGTTCAATCCTTGTAGTTGGAGGTGGCTTGATGTTCCACAAAGCTCAAGAATTTCTTCAACACAGAATTCTCAACAAAATGCCTCCCTCTTTTAGGAGAGTTGTTGAAAACGTAGAAGTCATTACAAGACCAAAGGTATCTTTGTATGGATTTATGCAGGCTTTCGAATAGGAGAGCAGCTGGGAGTAGCATTAGGAAGTGTGAGGGAATTAATTATGCAGTAATCAGACACATTTTGAGATGAGCAATAGGCTCTCTGTTCCGTTCAGAAGGATGCTTTCACCCACAGTACTGCTGTGAACATAGATTGAAATGACCACATCCCCCAGAGGCTCAGTATCAGCATTCAAGGGTTTTCTAGAATTACCTACCCATGGCACTTGCATGTATGGAAGTACACTTATATGGGGATTGGCGAAATCTTTTGTAGGTGATAATAACAAAATCTTCTTGTAGATAATTACTACGTGTAGCATCAGTTTTATTATTCTAATAGGTATTGAATTGAATTAGTCTATGATAAAAAGTATGCACTGGAATCTATTTGACAATTGAAACAATGACAGTCTTTGGAGCTGTCAGCAAAGTAACAATATGGTGTTTTTTTTTTCAAAAGTGAGTCAGTTCTGTCTGTTCTTTTAGAGCCTTTAGAATTTAGTCATATTTGTAAGAGTTCAAGGAACCAGCCATGGGATCATGTTTGATTTTTAATTGTATGGTATTTTTATATCCATTTAATATTAGGACATGGATCCACGTTTGATTGCTTGGAAAGGTGGTGCTGTTCTAGCCTGCCTAGATACAACACAGGAGCTCTGGATTTATCAACGAGAATGGCAGCGCTTTGGTGTTCGTATGTTACGTGAAAGAGCTGCATTTGTGTGGTGACCCAGTATTATTTAGAAATAATAGAACATTTCCTTGATCCTTAGTTTTGTGTTTTAAATAAATTAAACAGATTAAAAATTATTTCCTCTGGAATCATTTAAAAATAAGGTATAATGGTATTAAGTATTTCTCTAAACCCTTTCCTCTAGTTCAGTGTTTCTCAAACTTGCAACATTAAAATGTGCGGACTTCAACTCTCAGAATTCATGAGCCAGCCGTGCCATGTTAACAGAATTCCCTAGCCAGACAGCCATGCTGGCTCTGGAATTCTGAGAGTTGACGTTTATACATCTTAAAGTTGCCAAGTTTGAAAAACACTATTCTGGTTGAATATTTTATTATGATCTTAGTGAAATCTGTGATAGAAAATACAACACAGTTTTTCTAAAAAAACAAAATCAAAAACACAAACAAGATGTGCACAGGTTCAGGACACCAGACCTGGGCACCTATTGGAATAATGCCAGTTGGCAGAACTGGTACAGAGATTGCAGCTTTCAAAACTTCCTGGCAACTAAACACACATTGTCCAAGCATCTACAAGCCACTTCTATTTCATTAGATTTAGACTGACTGACTCCAAGGCAGCTCCAGGAAAGTCACAATTATATGTCTATCATCTCTTTCTCACAAAAAAAACAGACCCACCAAATATTATAATGTGAAATATATTTTTAAAATACCTTTAGACATCATTCTTAATTCCAAAACCCTATACAAGGGGACCATATTTTCTTTACCCCAAATCTTGGAAAAATGCCAATCAGAGTAGGAGTTACACAAATCTTTGGAGAAAATAAGATCTTACTTACGCAATGCAGCTTGTGAAGAATATACTAAGGAACGCCCATCATTACCTATGTTATGGCAGTAATATTCAAGGGCAGTACAGACTATTTTGCAGAAATCAAACCAAAACGGGAGTCTGGCATGAGTGGCTGTCTGAAAGGCCCAAGTGTTCCACAAGACAGCTATGCAAAGGCCTCATGCTGTTCAAGCAGAAGTTGTGTGTTGAACATCATGATTAACACTGGATTTGAATACTGCCCCATCCAAGATCTGGGGGATGTTTGGCTGGTTCAGGGTTGAGATGTATCTATTATCAGCATGCTGAAGATACTGATTGTTGAGCTGATGAATTACTTCAGCCTGCAGTTTTATATAGACCTTAAACAGGAGGAGCAAGAGTGCTGAATCCTGTTGGCACGTGACACTGGTGAGACTGAGGGAGCAATCTCTCTCCCCAAACAACATATTTGTGTAAATTCCTTATTCACGTTCCATTAAATTCAAGGCTGTTTATGTTTTTAAAGCAAGTGTGGGGGAAGCTTCTTTTGTGTCGCATTCTTATAACAAAGGAGAACAAAACAGCTATGATTTGTAAATTCTGACTGAAGTAATACATATCTCAGGTTCAGCCAACACGTTTAGCTGCCAGCAGATCATGAGCATATGAGTCAGTAGAAGAGCTTGTGAGGAAGAACCAAAGGGTGTTTGCAGTAATCAAGTTTTATATTGTGCAAATGAAACGCTTGAGAAATCCATATCTGACACAGGAAGCAGGGACATAATTTCTATCATGGGCCAAAACTGTACAGTGATTTAAATATAATTGCCAGTCTATCAAGCTCTGGAGAAATCAGGTAATTCAGGCAGTTCAAATGAGTATAAAGATATATTGTGAGCTTAAGCTGTCTACAAAAATCTGAGCTACTAACAGTTGACGGAAATGAGCAGGAATTAAGGCATTCAAGGGGGTTGGAGTTCGATCTCTTGCAGGCATGCAGGGACTCGTGATGCATTTGACTCATCCCTCCGGCTCAGCCTGGTCATGTCCTTCACAGTCCTTTTAATCCCTGGAAATGAATTAGCAACCATGTATGTTATGAAATTGTTACCATTCACTTTCTTAAGTAGAGAAGATAATATCAAAAACTAGTATCAGTTTTCCAACTTACAATAATAATTCATTTTTATAGTTAGAAGAGAAAAAAAGAGTAACAATCTCTATTTTAATACTATACCTGTAATCCAGGACTAATCTTAAATTTCCAGGTCTACTTGTTTGCAGCTTTATACTTCTGGCTCTGTGAAAAGTAAAGGTCTCTACAAAAGGAGTCTATATCTTTCATTAAAAAATAGTTTGGGCAGATGTTCAATGGAGTTGGGAGAAGTGGCTCTGGATGTGTTTCATTGAAAGAAACAACCATGTACTTGCAAAGAGAAGAATTCCTTTTCCAATCACTGAAGAAAAAGTGTAACGCAAGAGTGAACATACATTCAGAATTTTTCTGGTTTTCTATAATGCTCTTACAGGTTGAATCACATGAAGCACTCGAGTGGGTTGTGCAAAGAAAAATTACTTTATCAGCAATTTCTTTCTGAGTAGCAAGCCATTGCACAGTTCCTATTTCAGCAATTCTCCGTTTTTGCCACAGGTCTATTATAACATTACATTTACAGTATTCCTGTAGAAATTCAGCAAAACTTAGGACGGTATGCTGTAAACAGGCTTCTTGAGAATATACAACAAGAATTGTTACGGGTTTTTGTGCTGTTATAGGATGGAAATGAGCCAGATTACTTGCTGGACCTGTTTAAAAAACAACAACAGCACCACTGTTAAAATGAAACTTGGAGCAAGGAAGTTCACATTTAAGTAAGCTGAAAAAAACAGTATTTGTTATCTGGGAATATATTGTGGCATATAGTTTTACAATACAAATTAGCTGACAAACATACCAGTAGTTTCATATTCCTATGGGACAACAGAATGCTGTATGATAATGAATATGGTACAAACAAATTCCTCCATCAAAAACAAAATAACAAAGTCAGGCCAAATTGCTCAGGACGGGTATTGATGGTTTTGGTTAAGTTAGCTAATACTTTGGACTGTATCTAAAAAATAAGTGAGAAGCAGCTATCAGCTGAACTATAGAAAAGTGAGAGGTAACTGCAACACCATGTTTTCAGACTTCTATCTTCTCACCCTTTTGAGGATTACCAAAAGTAAGCATACAATCTGAAACCATTTTCTGTCTGCCCAAGGTACACAAGATGAGCAATTGTGAATGTCCTATTTGAAGAATCCACACTATCATAGTGGGAATTTCATGTTACTTAAGGCTATCTTTCAGATTTTCAGACCTTTTATCACTAAGTGTTGAGGCTGAATATATAATGCTTCCATGACCCATCCATGTAAGAGGGGAACAAGTGAGGAAATGTGTCAGTGTTAATAGGACTAACATCATAAACATATGAGAAAGGTGGAGCATGGAGTGACATCATGGCACATATTTTGTCATTTGAGCATCATTGTGGTTAGGAACACGTCAAAAAATATTCTGTCAAAAATTACAATCAAACACCAACAATATCAAAGAAAACACAATTGTCATGGAAGCCTAAACCCATTATACTTTTGTTATATATTATCAACAAAAGCAGCCTCCAGTGTTAAGTATTGCCAAATATAGCCATAGAGTGGAGTCGGAGTTTTAAATTCATGCTTGTAATTATTTATTCAATTTCACTTGAAACTTCATTGTGAAAAGCAGCTGGACTAGAAATATTGTCATCGAGTTACTGGCTTAATACTACAGTATTTCTTACATATTAAAACTAAAATTTATTATATGCCACATTTAACACTTTCTGCAGCAGCTACTTTCTATGAATAATTGTAACTGCTTGTATCTTTTCCTTTCAATGTTTGCTCTAATCTCTTTTTAAACATTCTCTCCATTCTTTCTACCTACCTCCCAATCGTATGTGCCATACTCAGATCTATTTGCATATGCTAGTGTTTGAGATGTCACAGGACTTGTTATTTTCCCAGTAAACGTTACAAAATACATCTGTATTTTGAAATCCTGCAGTTTCTTAGAATTTAGACAAGAATATGGATTCAGAGAGTACTTCCTTTTTCCTAGATGTCTCAGAATTGACAGGAAAAGTCAAAGTAGCACCTACATTTCAATCTTCTGAGTCTTCAGTTGTAGACAGAAGATAGAGGAGGGACTATAAACAAAACAGAATAAGATAAGCTCTTACCATGCCTACTCTTGAAATAAAGCATAGCAGCAACTATGCACACAATCAGAAGTAAAGTGATGGATATGCCAACATATGTTTTTTTCATATCTAAATGAGAAAGAAAACAGGTTTGTAAGATTGCAAGATTCTTTTAAAAGCTTAAAATTAATTTAATAAAAAATGAGCAATTGCCATTTCTAATTCTCAAAATATTGTAAAATGCATTCTTATGTATGGAAGTGGTGATACAGCACAGACGGAGGTGAGATATTAGAGTTTAAATGAGAAAATGTGGGAAATCTAAAATATGTCAGAATAACATGGGTGGTTCAGTCTCCAAATTTACAACCAGCAAAGCAATCTTCTGATCATGGTCTAAATTAGGAATAGGCAACTTGATGCTTCACAATCCATTTTGCTGAAACCTGCCAATTGGTAGGTAATTTTGGGAGGCTAAGCAGGTAAATACCACAGTGCAGGGGTGTCAAACTTGTGACATCGTTGTTGTCATGTGATGTATCACAATTTTTTCCCCCTTTGCTAAACTGAGCAAAGGTGTGGCCAGCACATGATGCATCTGGCCCATGGGCTGTAAGTTTGACGCCGCTGCCATAGTGAAAGCTTAAAACAGGAGTATTGCCATTAAAAAACACAACTCAAAACCTTCTGCTAAGAACTGAGACCACCTTCTTGTTTGCTACATCTGGCTCTAAGTTGTAGTTCTCAACCTCCCCAAAATGTAAATATTGACTCTGGCCACAGATATGTTGCTTATCCTACCATCATCACAATCACCCACTCAAAAGATCAAAAAGAAAAAGTCCCAGAAATATCTAAAATGGTAGCCAGCTAAAATGTAGAACTAATGGCCATATTCAGTGTCAATGTATCTTGTTAGCATATGCCCAGAGACAAAGGGAGTCTTTCTTTGGCAACCAAAGGCTGCCTATGTCAGACTGAGGACTATAAAGATCTTTGCGACATTTCCAGGACTTATTGCTTTTAGAATGCATAGAGCCAAATATGGGT